GTGTGTGTGTGTGTGTGTGTGTTGGCGTCAGCTTTGAGACTTTTAGTTTGTGTTTATCCACGGACACTGGGAGGGTATATGCATGTAGTGTGTGTTTGTATAATTTGTGTGAGTGTGTACACGCTGTATATGTCTGTGTGATGTATGTGCTGAAGGTAAATGAGTGTATTTGTTTGTCGACCTCTTCAGGGAGATCGACTTTCATATAGATTAGACGAACGTTTCCTCAACCTCAGTGTCCTAAACTCTGCATGATGACTGATACGGCCTACACACACACACACACACACACACACACACACACACACACACAAACACACACACACACTTACTGCTGCACATGCATGTAAAGTTTTTAACTCATTCTTTTTAACCTCAAACCCATCATTAGTAAAACATCTAAGCGAGGGGTGGAATTGAAAAACCCCAACGTTGTGAAAGAATAGTTATTTTATGGTGTTGTTTTAGAATTATTAGGCAGAATTTAATCCATTCATCCACCCAGGACTTGGCCTGTCCATCGTTTGAGTGCCTGCTCTAAAAAGCTCAAAAGCCCTGACACGTTTCATATAGTTTTTAGTCCGTTTTTCTTGCCCAGGAAACGGTCACGGTGTGATGAAAAGGTTTCTTTACTGGCAGTCATCCATAAAGCAGCCCGTTAGCCTGCCAGCCGTTTCTCACCGAGGCTCAGTGCTACTGTACAGATGAGTTCAAAACTGTAAATCCTGTGTTGCAATACAAAAATTCAAAGTTTAGATTGTTTCCATTCTCTGTTAGATACACAATGTTATGAGGAATCAGTGTCACGTTCAGGTCTGGTAATTCTGCAATCTTGTTAAGGCAGCGAATAATTAGAAAATTCAAGAGATTTAATTTCACAGTCTGTGAGCTGGTTTTGTCTACACACACTGTTAACACTGGAAGCTTGAAAACAACTGGGGATGTCATCACCAAGCTCACATGCTGATGTTTTCATGACGTATTTTTAACGTTTAGCATCTAAATTCAGTGCGTTGGCGTGCTAACATTTATAAATACACATTAAACACAAATTAGAACTGAGGCTGGTGGGAATTCAAATTTAATACCAAAATTAATATTGCTTCATTGTAGAAAGTAGTTATTTTTCTAATATTAGTGCTATGTAAACTATTTAATAAAGAAACCAGTGTCTTCCTGGTCAAAATGACTGGAGTCTGTGAGCGGCAGCCATATTGGATTACGGGCCTTACGGTTTAGGGAACATTTCAGACACGACAGGTTTGATTAACGGCAGGTTTCTGCTCCAAATGTGCATTAGTACGTGTAAAAAAAAAACTGTGAGCAGATAAATCAAGTCATTTGGTGTTTGGTCTGCGGTTCTGACTCGGGTTTGGTTGGTTTGGGAGCTCTCCGTTCATCCAGGTGTTAGAGCTGAAGGATAGATTCCCGCCAAGCTGCTTCCAACGCCAGCTGCTTACTGGAAAACTCCTGATGCTGAAGATGCCAAAATCAACCGACCACAGATCAGTCTGACCACTTTATCCTCAGTCATTTGCCGACTGCTCACTGATTAAAACTGATAGTTTGGGGGAACAGCGGGTCTCCTGGTGTGTTGACTGACCTGACAGAAGCTGTAAAGGAGAAGGAGAATATAAGACTCTAGTCACGGATTTATTTAATAACCAACATGTTTCACATGTTCAACTTTATTTAAACGTGAACAAATCAGGTGCTGGAGGATTTCTGACTCGGCCTCACAGATGAAGTTTCTCAGGAAAATTACGGATGTTGTTGTGGTCTCGGGCTGGTGGTTAAAGAAGCAAAACTTGTAACCAGAGAGTCACTAATGTGAGTTTTTTTGACTGGCTGTGGAATATGTGATGGGAATACTTAAATGAGAAACACTCTCTACGCAGTGTAAGGTGTTCTTGAGCAAGGCGTTTCACTTCCAGCTCTGCCAGGAGGTAACACAGACTGACCACTGACCACTGACCACCAGTTAAAACTGATGTAATCAGTTACGTATTTCTCCACAATAAAAATGATATTGCATTAGGGGAAGGTAGATTTGCTAAGTTCACATGACTGGAATTCAAGACTATAAAAGGTAGACTGTGAATAAAGATCGTCTCCACTTGTGGTCGAAATGAAGCCAAACTATCTCGGATATGGGCGCTGACATCTTGTGCTGGTGACATCATTTGAAGCCAGAGTCTGTGCGGTAGTGAACGTGGGGTGGAGCCACTTTTTCTCTGTACAACTGATGCACACACTCGACCAATCGTGAGTCAGTGACGCCTCAGCCCAAGGAATTAAAACTAAAACTTATCAGAACACTTGAACACTCATTACTTTGATGACAACTTTACCTAAAATGAAAGAAACCATCTTTGAGAAAAAGGTGTTTGACTTGATCTTTGATTTTTTTACAGTCCAAATGTTTTTGCTTCACTTTTAGAGACCTGTCATCCATCTCACTCTACAGTCCACTGCACAATAACAGCTCAGAAAAGTTACAGCAGACGACAAACAGCAGAGTGACTCAACTCCAACATCATCTGGATTGTTATCCACAGACATTCTTTAGTTTGTGTAAACACGTGTCTGTGTCTGTGTCTGTGTCTGTGTCCCTCTCAGGTACGAGACTCTGGCCGTGGCCACAGAGGCAGAGAGTCGACAGGATCCTGACCAGCCCGTCAAGACTGGAGGCAAGAGGCTGACAGTGAGTCGTTAACTTTTTAATACTCCAGCTCATCAGATCATCACCCTGAACAAAACCTTCCCCACATTAGCACAAACGCGTTAGAACCATGAATCCCAGGGTTCAGAGACAACACGTCCATATTCACAGAGCTTAACTGTGAATATGGAGTGTGGTAACATTTGTGTTAATGTGTGTGTGTGTGTGTCTGTCTACCAGCCTGACTGGATGTTTGTCCTGGGAGAACAGGCCCTCGACCTCTCTGTGCCCTCCTTCTCACACTCCTCGTCATCCATCTTCGTCCTGGGTGAGAGAAACCTCTACTGTCTCCGAGACAACGGCCAGATTCGCTTCATGAAGAAGCTGGAGTTCAGCTCCAGCTGCTTCCTCCCCTACGCCTCAGGTAAACCACGACCCTGCACTTTTAGCACAGGGTTAAAATAGTGCAACGGCGAACTGTATTTAATTTGAACTTTGACTTTCTCGATTGTTTAGCTGTGTTTATGACCTGCACTGCAGCCTGCCGCCACGACACGATCAAGAAACCATGTGTCCATCCTTATGTCCAGTCTATGCTCTTAACCCTGAGCATTTTGTAGTTTTAACAGGAAATACCATAAATTTATATTTAAAATAGAAGCGGGCAAGAAACGTTGTTGATGTTCCTGAAGGAACGTGGACACATGATTTCTTTCTGAGAGCTGAGTGCCGTGTTGTGCGTGGGCTCGCGTCACATTTAGCCACTGCAGCACTGGTGAAGCTCAGATGTGTTCCCCCTGGTTTAAAGTGCAGGGCAGCAACACAAACCTCAACATGCATCAGTGCACCTGCCACAACCAAACGCCTCAGAGCAAGTGAACAAAATACACAAAAACAAAGCGTCCTGTGCAGAGGCCCAGTGCCACATGACCGGCTCTACAGGAAGCCGCCTTTGGCAGAACATGATGGAACAACTGCAGCAGCCCTGCTACATGCATTAAAACACAAGTGATCAGAGTACCGAACAATCTGTAGCACATAAACACATGGTGCAAGATGAATGAACAACATAATAAAGGCAGACATTTTAATGTGCATGATACATTTGAGATATACAATTCTGTGTGCCTCCTTGGGTTTTCTAAGAAGTTAAAGGATTAAACAGTAATACTCGTATACACTTAAAAAATACCCCAAATTCCAAAACCCTTAGATTAATAAAGATATTATGAGTTTATCACATTCTTCCTCTGCTTCTGTTTCTTCTTCTTTTTCTGTTTCTTATTCATCTTCTTCATTTTCTGTCTTCTTCTTCTTCTTCACCCTCTTCTTCGTCTTCTTGTTCTTTTTCGACTTTGTCTTCTTCTCCATCTTATGCTTCTTCTTCTTCGTGTTTGTCTTCTTCTTCTCCTCCTCCTCCTCCTCCTCCAGTGACATCACAGTGGGTGAACAGTTGGTTTCTCATCCTATCTGCCCGTCACCCTTGAAACCACATTTAAATGAGCTAGATTTAGATCTTTTCATCACCGACACCTACAAGGGTTATTTCAGCTGCTCTGGGTGCTGTAGTGTTTTCATACTCGACTAACATGACTCAGAGATTTTCTTTCTTGTTCTCTTAAAACATGTCCGGATCCTTAAAATCTGTTTTATCATCTTTGTTTTATGTGTCTCTTTTATTAACACGTGTTTCTGATTAATCTTCAGACGAGAGAACTGAAATGCTACAAATCTCAATAACCTCAATCTTTGTTTCTGTTCATTTCAATTACACTGACATCCAGAGACAAAAGCTTTACTGTTACGTTTAGCAGAGTGAAAACTCGCTGCGTAAACTTTTTGAACGTGAAGCAATAAACAACCTTTTTATGAGCGTTTTCAAACAACAACAAAAAGTTTCTGCCTGTTTCGGTTTATGCAGTAATGAACCGTAGAAACATTTCGGTTGAGAGTGTTGCACTTGATCTGAAATACACCAGAGAGCTGACAAATGGAAAGAGAAAACAGGATGTGAGGAAAGTAAAAAATAGACTGGGGGCAGGATCCAGAAGGGAGGATTGATGGAGAGATCGTGAAAACAGCCGGGAGCGTTCTACCAATATCTGTTTTCAATTTTAGAATTAAAATATCTCGGCTTTTTCAAAGTGTTCGCCACTGTCTGTTCCAGACATTATTTCGATTATTTAAATTACTCTTGAAAATTGCCCATAAATTCAATACACGATGTACCAGTGCAACAAAAGCAGCTTTTATTGGGACATGATTCCTGTCAACAATCAAAACCGCATAAAAGTTCCCACATGGTGGAGAGACGGATGGACTCCTGGGATCTGGCTGCTGCTGCTGCTCCTGCAATCGTCTGTGTCCATACTTCAGTTTCTTGTTACGAGGCCAACGTGTAGTGACTGAGTGACTGTCAGAGCTGCCACCCAGCATTCAGTAAACACTCTTTATTCTCCTCACAACCCTCACAGTGGAGAGTGCAGTGCAGATGAGGGGAGACGTCGCTGATCTCCACTGTTTCCTTACTCTTTTCTCCTGGCCCTCAGCCTCACAGCTGCCTCCGCTGGAACGCTGCCCTCAAACTCCCCGTCCACCTCCCTCTGTCTGTCTGTCTGTCTGTCTGTTTCTTTCTGTCTCACAAAACTTTATTGGCTCCTCTGCTCAGCTGAAACCTTCCAGCCAGAGTTCAGGTCCCACGTCGAAACCACAATGAGATGCGAAATCACTTCCTTTTGAGATGAAATTATACGACCCAAAACTTCCAGAAACACGACAGTTGAGCAACAGATCGTCTTTCACAATGCTCCTCTCTGTTATTGCCAAAACTATGTGTATGGCTCTTGAGACATTTCTATTCTTCCAGTTTCATGTCGATCACGTGGTAGAAACGAACACTCTGAAATGTTCTGGCGCAAGATGGCATCGTTCGTATCCAGGATATTTCTGGAAAGTGGGAGGAAGTGGAGACAAGTCGTCCATCTTTATTTACAGTATTTGACTCCTACTTCAATCAAGATGGACAGGAGCAGAGGAAAGGATCAGTGATGAGAAAAGATGAGATCAAGCAGATGAGAATAGAGCGGAACATGAAAAAGAAGGAGGCAGGAGAAGTAATGGAATTGCAGAGGAGAAAGAAAAGAAGGGGATGTTGAGATGAGAGCGAAGGGAAAGGGCAGTAAAATGTTTGGGAGATGCTCGGCCTGAACACCGATCGGACCTTTATAATCAGGTCGTAATTATAATGCTGATGCCGAGATAGAAGGTGTGTGTTTGCTTTGATGTGGCACCAACACACACTCTGTCATTTTGACCCCTGCGCTGTACCACCCGGCTGACCGCTGTTACTATATTACGCCTTGTGTATTCAAGTGTGCGTGTTTGTTTTGCGTGTGGCCGTCACCTCAGATCTCTCTAGGTGGTAAGTGCACCATTGGTGGGATCGACTGGACGTGTGTGTAAAACAAAAGTAGTAAAACGTGAGTATTTATATTTAATGTTTCAAAGCGTGAGTCACAGGCGGAGGTTTATATGGAACTTCATATGTAGACCTACAAAAACTGACCTTGTCTTCAATTAAATCATCTACATGAGAAAAATCTATTCGCAAACCAGATGGGAGACGCACAGAGATTATTTCTTTCTTTGCAGGAGACCACAAGTTGCACTCATCTTAAAGGTCAATGCCACCCACCACAGGAATTTTGTTATTTCTGTTATTTCTGCTTCATGGTTTTTGGATATGTGAATATGTGCCACTGTTTTCCAAAACCAAAAATCATAGACAAAACCCTCGGATTTGTGCTGCTATGAAACTGAGGCTGGGCTTCTGACCATAAATGACTAAGTTCAATCATCACAGTGAAGTAAGGTTTCTATCGTAGAACTAGTAACGAGCATGTAGCCGATTATAGACCTCATCTGGGGGTTTAAACTCACAAAGAAATCTTTATTCTCATTATAATTTTACGAGTTTACATTTCACTGGAATAATCCATTTTGGTCCCTTTTTAGCACATAATCATACCAATGGTTCGCCCTCTTTAATACATATACGTCTGAAACGTGTTCAAACCTCAAACCAGGCACTATTAAACATAGACGCATATGGAAATACACCTTTTCGTAGATTTCCATACATAACTGTCTTTTAATGTTTACGTTATATATATTTATGTAGTCTACATAAAAAAACTGCGATTCAGTATGGAGGGGGAAAGGTTTATTTTTTCACGTACGTCATGGAGGTTATGTTTTGTTCTGTTTGTTTGTAGGATTGCGCAAAAATGACTCAACCAATCCGTGTTGTGTATTTAAATGTGGTTTTTAAAACTTTGGTGGAGGTATATGCTCTCTGAATGACATTCAAGTTTCTTATGGAGGTTAAGAGTTTTACCCTGATGTTTTTTTCATTCTCAGTATATTTTTCTAAATGTAAATATCTAATCGCATCTTTTCTGCATTGTCTATTCTATAAAGACTCTTGTTCTTCAATCTGACAATTCATTTCATTTCTTCGTCTCCTCCAGTGACAGACGGCATGACCAACCTGTTGCTAGGTAACCACACCAACATGCTACTGGTTTACCAGGATGTGACTCTGAAGTGGGTGGCCCAGCTCTCGTTTGTGCCCGTGGCCGTTCGCATCGCCAACTTCCCGTACGTACGACCCTCGACAGAACCCGTCTGTTACAGTTTCATCACTCTGAGGAAACACTGACAAGAGCTACGTCAAGATCATTTGTGTTCCAATGTTATATTACAAACACACTCGTAGACACTGTTACAACATGTGCACACACACAACACACCGATAAAAATACACATGTTAACGCTCACGTACACACGGCAGGTATGGTACTTTATTTATCAGCTTGTGAAATCCTGTGTGTAACTTTTGACAGGAAATTACCCAACAATGTCTTCCAGCTGGCCAATCAGAGCGGAGCAGGGAGGGGCCAGCTGTAGCCTTTTCCAAACAACTCCAATCAAACCGCAATTTAATACAATTACAACTCAAAACACAAACACGGATGAAAAATGACGTGTGTGTGTGTGTGTGTGTGTGTGTGTGTGTGTGTGTGTGTGTGTGTGTGTGTGTGTGTGTGTGTGTGTGTGTGTGTGTGTGTGTGTGNTGTGTGTGTGTGTGTGTGTGTGTGTGTGTTAGTGTGTGTGTGTTAGATACAGGAGATAGTGTGTGTCTGGGTAGCTGTTTGGTTTAGTTTGAGGCTGTGTTGTTTTAAGGCGCTTGATAGTCATCATCTTGTTCAGTGTGTTGGCAGGACCCTGCACAGAGTGTGGGAGAGAAACACACACACCGATATACACAAAACAAACACACACACACACACACAATGGCTCCAGCAACTTTCTGTGGCTATTTGTCATTTACAACAGCGTCCCACGAGTCAACACAGATTATTATTTTCTATTATTACAAGACGTATTTTTGTTAACCTTCGACCGATCAGCTCCAAAAGCTAAGCTAATATTGTAGTGTACCGTTTATTCATGAACACACATGTGACTTCAGCAGGTTTTTATAAAGATCAGTTCAATGTGTGAGCGATTAGAAAAGAGCAGAGGAGCAGAATCACTTGTTGACCAATGTATTCTTGGGGGGGAGGTGGAAGCCAGATTTCCAACCACTGCTAAAAAAACCCATCCATGGGGAAACAGTGTATTGTATTTCATTGATGTATAAATTGCTGTAATAGATGTTTTATGCTGCAGTCCTCAGTGTCATGTACAGTTTGTTATGATGTTATAACTACAGCCAACATCTCTAACAGCAGCTGCTGCGAGTTTCCTCTTTTTGTCCGTTCGTATTTATGATCAACACTTTTCCTGTGGTGGGAACTGATTTTCTCAGAGGGTCGGGGGAAGTGTGTGTAAGTGTGTGTGTGTGTGTTTGTGTGTGTTATTGAGTGAGTGAGTGAAAGCTGTCGTTATGAATGAATGTGTGTGTGTGCGTGTTGGTCATGTGTGAGTGAGTGAGTGTGTGTGTGTTTCCGCAGCAGTTAAAGTGAAGGTTTTATGCCCCCTCAGACGCCCTCCTGTGCAGGTGTGGAGTCGACTGCTGCTCTAGACCTGAACCGTGTGAGTGTGTGTGTGTGCGAGTGTGTGTGTGTGTGTGTGTAAAAGCCTCACGAGTCTCAAACTTCATCACATCTGCAACCAGTTATTATGCACGTACACATACACACAGTTAACATGCATGACTGCATCATTCATTATTTCCTTTCCTCTCCTCCTCTTCCCCTCCTCTCCTCTCTCCTTCTCTTCCTCTCCTCTCCTCTCTCCTTCTCTTCCCCTCCTCTCCTCCCTCCTTCTCTTCCTCTCATCTCCTTCTCTTCCTCTCCTCAGGGAGTTGAAGGGAGTGGTGGTCAGTCTGAGTTCAGAGGGTCACCTCCTGTGCTCATACATGGGTACAGACCCCTCCTTCTTTTCCACACCCAAGGTGGACGCCAGGGAGGCCGACTATGAGCAGGTGGACGCTGAGATGAAGAAGCTACAGAAGTTCATCAGAGATGCCACAAGGACTCAGGGTAGGAGTCATCTGCACTGGAATCAACATAAAAGTCACTTGAACTCTGCAAAACCTTATGTTGATTTCCTGGAAGATGTTTTTATGGCACGTTCACACCTTCCTTGTTTATTATCCAATAAACAAGTTTGGGAGGAGCCTCTGACCACAGTCTGTGGTTTCCTGACCTCTCTGAATACATCGCTTGCTTTGTTTTTTATTATCTGGATTTACGAAGTGTCATGTTTGTGCAAGTTAATTTATTATTTGGGGGAAACACTCTGTAACTTGTTATTTCAGACATCCTCCCCAAACCTGATGCTGAGGAGGACCTGACTTTGAAAGCTGCTGTGTCCTCCAGTGTGGACAGTCCATCGGTAAACGCACAAGAACACACACATTTTCTACTAAATGAACAAACACAGAGACACAGTGGATGAATCTCTTTTTGTCTACAGCAAGCTCTGATTCAAGATATCAATGGTCTGCCCATCCCTTCAGTAACCATACAGGTGAGTGATGTCATGACGTACTTCAACACCTGAATTTGTTCGTACGTTATACGTCTGAACCTTTGTGGCCCCGTAACTTCTGTATCCTCCTTCTCCAGGTGAAGGTGAAGGCCAGCAGCGTTGTGTCGTCCTGTAAACTGAGTGTTGCCGTTCAGCCTCCTCTGGCCGTCACCCAGGACCAGTTTGTCCTCGAGCCAATGGGTCAGTCAATTATTTTCTTTGTCTGCGTGTGTGTGTGTGATTGGAATTTCTGAATAAATGTGCAGATTCTGTTGGCGAGGGACAAGATTTTCAAGGAAGGAAGCCTTCTCGTTTGTATTTGTAGTTCGACCAGTCACGTTTCAGCAGGCTTTGGTTGGTGGCAAATAAACAGACTGAGGTGAAAGACTATGTGATGTTTAAGTTGCCTCCATTTATATGCATCATTAGCTGAAGGCTGTTAACAGAGATTAGCCTAAATGTTGTCTGGATCTAAAGCAGCTACAAAAAGTATTGTTGTGTGTGTGGAGAAACGTGTGGACAAAATGTCTTGGCCTCCACTGTCTCCACCCCAAGCCCTAATAAGTTGTGGGACCCGAGCAGATTGAGATCCGAGATTGTACCTTGAAGGACTCACGACACATTTGACTCAAATAGGATAAAATTGTGAAGCGATGACAATTCATTTTGACATTATTTAAAGCCATCACTCAGAAACAGCAGGGAACATGTGATTCTGAAATGTGACTGGTCGGTGGTAGGAGGGTTTTCTAGTTGCTGTCGAGGAGGCTTGTGCAGCGGTCGTGGGTTTTAAACTTCCTCAGGCGCTAAACAATTATTTTATTATAAGTATGAAAGTATCAACAGAAGAATAAAAGTGTGGAGTGCAATTTATGCAGCTGGTTTTTGTGTAAAATCTTTTCATCATCTGATTTCAACTTTGGGACAAACTTTGTCTTTAGTTTCTCCCGGCCCTTCTCTTCCATCCACTCTCTAAATCACACACTCACTCTCTAAATCACACTCACACACACACACATTTATACAACACACATATTTTCCGCTCTTCTCCTGTCCATCACATCCTCCTCCACAGTTTGAACACACACACACACACACACTCCCCGCTGACAGCTAAGGGAGTGAGAGGTGTGAGTCTGTGTGTATTTGTTCAGCTCTTATCAGTCCCTCTCCTGTGTGTTCCTTCGTCTGGTGTGTGTCGGTCACTTCGACCAGACGCCGGTAACTTTGATCTAAATCACCTAGACACTACGTACACACAACCTCACAACCCCAAACACTGATATCTGCTGTCGGCTCGTTAAAAGAACATCTCCCATCCTGTAACACAATGTTAACCTTTTGCTTTGAGCTGTTGCGCTGCCCCTGTTTAACCTTTACATTTGTGGAATCATACAGTGTGTGTAATGTAAACCAGCTAGGTGAGGCTCTTATCGCAGCATACATACTGTACCATGAGAACTCTTTTTTTAATCTGAGGCCCGATTGGGAGGGGAACCTCTAAACCAAGTGTTGGTGCCTTGCACTGCCTGTTGGCCTACATATGAAGTCGGAGTCCTGTGAAGGACCCGTCTTTCTTAACAAGACAAACAAACTACGATAGCGGTCTTGGTCGAGGTGTGGTCAAGTGCATTGTTGGCGCATTGCTATTTTGCGGCAGCGGAAAGTAGTTGCAGGATTGGCTAACTAAAACCTAGTCTGAAGATAGAGCTGCAGTATATTACTGTTATTGCCGCACTCTGATTAGTTTAAACCTAAAGCTCTCCCTCTTAAAGGTCCAGTGTGTAAGATTTAGGTGAGAGGGAACTATTGGCAGAAATGTAATGTAGAATAATCCTCAACATTTCATCTAAAATTTATGAATTGTAGTTTTCTTTACCCCAGAAAAGGCCCTTTTATATTTACATACTTTATATTTAAATCCTGAAGCTACCACAGGTTGTTTTTTATGTTTGGAAGGAGAGGGTGAGGTGATGGGTGTTCAGCTGCAACATGCAATTTCAACACTAGATATCACTAAACTCTACACACTGAACCTTTAAACCACGCAGCTGACGCAGCAACCAATTTTTCTGCCATTTTTTTTGCCTAAATTCCCCTGCATCTTTGGCTTATGTCTTTCTAAAATCCTCCCTCATTAAACCGGTCACATTCCCAGGTGTGATTGGTTTTAATTATATTTTGTGTTGAACCAAAGCATCAGCATTAAAATAATGACAAGGATCTTACAAAGAAGATAAAGAAAGGATCTTTAAAAGAAATTGCAGGTTGGATGTAGATGGTATGCAGTTTTGGCAAAGGTTTGCGTTTTTTGTCAACCCATGTTTGACAAGGATTCTTGTGTACGGTGTGAATGAAGCTCTATTGTGGCAGATTTATCTTTTTTTTTAATAAGATTTCTGATCTCGAGGTACTTCTAGAAATTGCATCTGTAGAACTAATTTAAATGTCTGCTTGACAATTCAGACAAGTTTTTTATTCTTCAATTATTCGTCAATTCTTTCTGTCTGTAGGTTGGATATTTGAAGTTAACTATATTTATATATATATATTGTCTTGTAACTCTCAATGAGGGTATGAATAAAACTAGAAAGGACTTGGTATAAGGTCATATGTCAAAGGAAATGCTTCACGTTACATCAAGTTAACATGGAAGGTGTCTGCAGTAATTTTCAAATCCATTTACTCAGCAAAGCCACAGAAGTAGCAGAGAGTGTTTTTTTCCTCTTAAACTTCTCCCTACATTCGCTGGAAGCGTCATCCATCATGGAGGAGTATTCTCTAACTTTTCTGACACGGACCAGTATGGATTTTGAATTTATGATTTCAAGATGTGAGCAGCATTCTCAGGCGAGTGGAGCACCATCCATTTATTCCCAGCGCTGAATCAAACTGACCACTGCCCCCCCATGATTAATGCAGAAATGTGATGCGTTTCACCACAGTGCATTCTTATCTGTAAATATACCGTACATGACCCCGACAACTGTTAATCCAAACACGATGCGTTTTTGTGCACAACACACAGCGTATTTGCTGTAAATTCTTTTGCCAGTTGCCTATTTTTTATACGACTTGCATTTCATATTTTGACATATTTCCCACTGCACTGCGCATGTTTTAAATGTATGTATGCGCTTTAATATGTCGATGTCCATATAGTCGGTGCGTAATTCTTTTATTTCCAGTGCCCAAACCGTTGTAATGTACACTTCCCACAGTATATTCATTTATACTCTTCACCAAATACAGTGCTCCAGCTGTAAGTATAAGTCTGCAGATCCCTAGAATGGTTTTAAATCACTATGCTACTCAGTAAATCACAATTATATATATGTACAAGAAAAATATATCATGTTTTTGAGCGACTTGTTAATTAGGGCAGGAGACCTGATTTCTAAGGAGGTCCGGGTTGACGAAGTGGTTAGTACATGTACCGCGTGTACTAGGTGTTCTGGCCTATGCTGAATACATAACTTGAGCATTGGCCCCCAAAGTCCTTTTATTTCTTATTTCTGGAATCATTAGATAGATCTATGTTTGTTTTGTTTCTTATTTTCAAACTGTCCCCGTTGTGAATTAACATCGACTGTAAACTGAAGATGTTTGTTTTGTGGAGTGCTTTGAATGAGCCAACGATGGTCTCCACGTCTGAACGGAGAATGAAAAGCAAACGAACAGAAAACTAAATCAAAAGTCAAGTCATTGAAGGAGATGCCAAAAAAAGGGTTTGGGATTTGTGTGCTGGGTTTGGTTTTTCTCTTCTCGGTCGTAGCTCTCAACGATTCTCTGTTTATGTAGGAGATCAGAGGCGGTGAGTCACTGCCCCGTCACGTTTACACCACTGAAGAGCTGCTTTGTTTACATGAGTTTAGGTAGCGGTCAGAAGGGTCAAATTCAGGAGCCTGTCACAAGCAGACGCACACACACACACAGTTACAGAGATACACACCCAAGTCGTATAAATACTTACACATACATAACCAAGCACATGCACGTGTCACTGACTTACTGTTTAAATATAGACGCACACACACACACTCGAAGTAGAAAGTGTGTGTGTGTGCTTGTCGGCTCTTTTGTCTTCCTACTCACAGGAATCTGACACTGCCTGTCACTCGTCAATCGACAGCTCAATGCAGCGAAACACGAGAACTACAACTCTGTGTACCGTTGCCGCTCTCCTCTCCCACCTGAGTGACCCCTCACTGGCCTGCTTTGGCCCAGAATCGGCCTGGCTCCGCTCCGCAGCAGCAGGACCACCGTGGCTGACCCCAGTGGTCGTTTGGCCCGAAACTGTGTGTGTGTTTCACATCCGTAACAGTTCTGGAAAATGAGAGGGAAAAAAATTAATTAATGGAGGCTGATGAAGATTTAATGAATGTCGGGACTTGGTCGACAGACGAGCTGGATCCCAGTCACGCAGCCAGAGTTGACTTTAGGATTTTGTCCAGAAAATTGCCTCTCAGGTAATGGATTGCAGGGGAAGTGGCCGCGCTGTAGTTGGAATAATGCCTGGTGTAAACTATATGTACGTGCAGAGTATACAGTGATGTAAACCAGGCAGATTATTACCCATAAAAATACAAAACAATGACAAACGACCTCCAGAGCTGCACCAGAAACAGGATGTCGTTATTCACTGCCAGAAACACAAAGGTTACCAATTAACAGTGTTAAGGGTGTTTTAAGTTCACTTACAGAAATAACAACTCTTAAATTATTATACTTAGTTGGCTGACATGACTGACAATAACTTCTCCGATAGCAACCACTGACTGCTACTTTTTTATTTTGTGTACACCTCCCAAAAGTTTTCATTTATGTATTTATAGCTAAGGTTGAGCATAAATTAGTCTTTAAATACCCACAATCCATCTTGTGTCAACAATTATCAGCAATAAAAATATTTAAATATAAAGAATATCTGCAATGATAGTGAACAAAGGTCCTGGTGTACCTGATTTAGGGCGTCACACTAGCTAATGGCACTATTAAAGAAGGAGGTGAAAAGCTCTGTGTTCTCCTGACGTGTTGTCAGACCTCGTCCAAAGCCCAAACTATTTATAGCAGTTATGAGCAGCCACAAGTGAAGGCGTAGTGAAAAGTCAAAACGTCGTAGAGAGAGAAGAGTAATGATAGTTGTTCAAATGGGGATAACAGCGCATGTTTTCACTCCTGGAACGGATTCAGAGCGTTGC